GAAAGACAAATTATGCTTTATTTAACAAATTAAATTAAATTAAGTCAAAACATCTAATTTGGTAAATAAAAACAAGTTATCGATATATACCCGATATTAAAAATTGCAAATATTGTGTAAGAATGTTAAGTTTAACTTTATATTAGAGGATTAGTGACAAGAAATACTTTTCAAACTTGCATATAAAAAATTTTTTAAGTATTTATACTGTTACAATTACTTCACAGACATATTACGGTGTCGCGTGATCGCATCTTCTAAAACTGATTTTTGCAAGCTGTCCTGTAATAAACAGTATTACATTTTTTATACTTACTTCGCTTTTTTAATTATAAAGTTGCTGGCACCTGTTGTCTCAATTTCAGATGCCTCTAGTTGTAAACTACTTGATGGAGTAAATGTTATTTTTTTTAGTATGAGAGGTTCCAACGATGGAATATTATATTCCGGTACACCTGTCTTAAGGTACGGCTTCAAATACTCTATACTCTCGCTAATACATGTCTCGTAATGCGGATCTTGCGTCTGGCAAATATGCAGGAACTCAGCTGCAATCATAGGAAGCCGTCATCAGAGTGATACAAATATAGTAACAAATATAGTAACCATAATAATTTTAAATTAAGAAGCGCCATAACAGTCAGAACGTTAAGATGTTGAACTATTGTAAATTCATTTAATTTAAAATTATTATGTTTAACATTAGCGGTCTTTCAAATATAGTAACATTGGAAATATTATATAATAAACAGTTGTTGCTATCAATCCTTAATTTTTTTACCGTTTGATTTCTATTTATAAATATATGATTTAATTTTTATAATGTAATATTCTTTTAATATAATTTATACGATCTTCAATTAAGAACGCATTTTATATTTATCATTCACTATTTAAATACATTTACATTAATGCAAAATAAATATAATTTATAAAGAAACATATATTCTGTTAAGTTGATTTATATTTTTTATGCAATATTTCTTGGCAATTTGAAGGACGTAAAAATAAGGTTAAAACTTCCCTAGTGGAAATCTCCTCATAGATAGTTCCAAAAATGCCCAGGACTCATATATGCCCATTTTAGAAGGGTATATATCCCATTCCAAATCTTCCCATCATGAGCAGATTTCCGCCAGGGTTATATGTACATATATCCAAAAATATTGAATTTAATAACGCATATGACTTTTCTCTCCACAAATAAAAGCTTCCACAAATGTTTCTTATACGAGAAGCTACTTTTTATCAAAATTAGCAATATTTTTATAAATATTTATTAAATAATAAATATTTCCGAACATCTTTATTTTATATGTAAATAAAATTGCCAAATGTGTCCTTTATTAAAAATAGTTTATTTTCCCTATGTACTTTTAAAAATAACAACTGATTAATTTCAACACTTTTTGTGAGATACTCTATATATTATACATATGTGCGCGAGCGCGCGCGTGTGTGTCTGTGTGTGTGTGTGTGTGTGTGTGATAATTCTTCAAATGTTTCTTGTCTAATAATTAATTTAGTATTCGCAAAATTGTATACACAAAACTATATTTATGTGTACCCTTTTCAAATAAATTCTAACAAAAATTACAGATCATCTGAAGTACTTAATCGTAATGTTGACAATATCAGCTTAAATTGTGCATATGAGTTTTTAACTGCAAACGTAATCAGAAATCTTAATTACGATGGTAATAACAGACATTAAATCGACTTTTGGCATTCAGCTCTCTCTCCATTTAATAACTTGCTTGTATAATAGTGTAATAGTACACTAGAGAAACAACATAAGTTTACCAAAAATAAATAAGCCATATAAAAATATATTTGAAAGAGATTTTTATTCCATTGATATTATTTGTTAGTACTTAGGGTCAATATTAAAAGCATAAATATTACTTTTTTGGGGGATTTTACCTGTACTATTTACTTACGTATATCTCGTGAAGTTATCACGCCGATCGTCGCCACGGCCAAGAAGATAGTAAATGTTGCCTTCGCTGATGCCATTTTTCACAAAAATGGAAAATGAGCAGACAGGAAGCTCAACGAAATTGCCTTCCGGCAATAAAGGCCTGGGTGCAAGATTCGACGACGGGGTTGCTGGACCAAGAACCCACGGCGGCAGATGGTTCGAGGATGGTCGGGCTGGAAGTGTATGATCCGACAATCCGACGTCTTATAACAATGACCATCTCTCCCTCTCTATATCACCCGCCATCCCCCACAAACAAAACGAAAGCCATTATTGTTACTTATATGATACCTGTCTTTATGCATTTGCAAAAAGAAAAGTACATGTACCGATTGTGAGAATGAATATGTACAGATGGGTGATTTGATTGTGGACATGCATATTATGGAGGCAATGATAGACTAATATATGCTTTTTTATTAAACGGTATCACGGATGTTGCTTCGGTTTCATATCTCATGGACTTCTACTTTTCTGAAAGCAAAGAGGAAATGACAAGGTCGTATGATATCTGATCGAATAGTTTCGGGAGACGTTCTACATAAATAATCATTTTCTCGTTATATTGCGATTATAATTTGAGGATCCATTAGTTTCTTTGAAAAACTTATTTTAAAAATAATTCTGATGTTAGTTTTTCTGTTTTTTTTTAAATTTTATTCCTATTGGCGTTTAAATTAAAAGATTAAATTCGTTCTTTCCAATTGTATCCAATATTTTATTATAATTTGTATATAGGAATATAGAGATAAGAGATGTACCATTCCTTGACAAATGTTTTATTCAGGACATGATCCTGAACAACATTCAAGGGGTTTTAGCCGTCGATCGAACTTTACGTAATGCTAATGCCGGCGGTACTGTAACTTTCAAGCATTATAAATCGAAAAATACTTAATGAAAAATAACTTTATTATAATGTTTTGAAAAGCTTTTGACACCAGCTATTAAATTCTGGCATCAAAAATAGGGTGTTCCATTTAAAAAAATCAATTGACCTTGACTTAACTTTGGCGACGCCACCCAAGGTAAAGCGGATGTGATCAGTGAATAGATCTGATTAAACCCTACAATCTTTGTCTAAAGCATTTTTCTCAAAAATGCATACTTTCCGAGATATTCAGCCGGCCCGGAACTTTCCGCGGGTACTGTATAATATAAGTATATAATAAAAGTACGTAAAATTCATTTTTATGTGAAAAGTATAAGTTTTTGATTCCAATCACTTTATAGAGAATATACACCTTTTATGTCCTTAAGGAGATCCTAAAGCGAAGCTCGAACTCCGACAAAGTCACTAGATGTCGCTGTTTTTCCATCGACATGTCTTTATATACTACCACACCAATATCTCACGCAACCTATGATACATTCGGTCGCATATTTGTGTCAATTTTCGTATAACAAATTCGTCGCAATAAAACGTCTAATTCTAAGAACTCGACGTTATTTATTCGTGCAAACTACGTGTTTGTGGATTAATATTTCATAAGTACAGGTTGCAAAACTTTTGTACCAAGCAAATGTCACGACTTAACAGCTTGAGACGCCATGTTACACTAAGAAATGGTAAAAAATATATCAATTTCGAAATGTGTCGTTCTCGGCATAAACTCCACCTCATAAACACGTATTAATGAGTATACTTTAATCGTGGAAAAGGATTTTTGAATCTGTAGAAGAGAAAAAAGTATTTGTTGTACAAAAATTATATGATTTAGTCAGTAATACAGACGGCTTTAGGATCCCCTTAAAATGTTGATTCTTTTTGTGTAAATGAAGATTTCATGTTTATTTAAGAAAAATTGAATTTCATAAAATTTTATGAAAAGTACATTAAATTTCATAAAGTTTTATGAAAAATACATTAAATTTTATGCACATGTAAACAAATATACTTTTCAGTTATAAATGTATTAAATTTAATGTAATGTCATGAAATTAAATTCAAATTGTGTAATTTAAAAGTACATTAAATTTCATAGAATTTTTAACAGTGTATGTATGAGGGATATATTTGTTTTTAAAAAAGTTTGTTACAATACTAAAAATGACCGATACGTTTATTATATTATCGCTTTTTTAACGAATTAATAAATTATAATTTCTATTATATAACTAGCGTAGCTTAGTATACTCCTTTCTTGAGTTAAGTTTGCATGTAATGTTGCATCTTGACAAAAGTTCGTTATATTTAATGTGCCGCAAATTGAGAAAGATTTTAAATGTTGGTTTAAAATATAATCACGGTCTAGTTGTAATTTCTTTTTAGAAAACATCTTTTAAGTGACCAATTAAGTAATAAAAGACAAATGTTCCAAGATATTGTCCGTATATGTATATTACGCAACGTGCAGACAAGAGACATTGCTATTTGACCATTAATGTGATTATGCATGCGTACCAAAGAAATACGTAGTGAAGAATGCATAATGAGTTTCACGAATCAATGGAAGTAGATATATATGAAAAGGATAGTTTTTCGCGGTTTTTCCTAAAGCTAAAAGATTATGTAAATGGCTACGTTTACACCGTGCATTTAGGCCGCAGCCTATACAATAGATGTTCTTGTTTATCTTATAGGTTAAACAAAAGCACCTATCGTATAGGTCGCGGAGTAAGCGCACGGTGTAAACGTAGCCAATAATAACACCCGAGAATCAAAGTTTACACACGTCAATAGTCATAACCATAAAATGAAGCCATATATACATAATATTTAAAGAAACTTATTGCAAAGAAAATATTAATTTTTGAAAGTTTTTAAACGCTCTTATAAAATAAATATCTTCTAACAAATCAAATAATTATTTTTATATTATAAAATTTCTTTATATATTTATATACGTATAATAAGAATATAAATATAAATAGATAAATATATATTATATGTTATACATAAATAATTAAAATTATAAAAATAGCTTCTGGAAGCCTCTCTAAGAAATGTTATAGACCAATTTAAATTTATATAAGATATGTACGATTAAATTCTAGTCATTCTTTTTTAACACATTTCTAATTCATAGATATGCATTTCGCACTTTATCATTTCAAAATTCTGGTTTTTATAAACTATGTTGAGACATTGAAACATAGTAAATGAAGTCTTGTAGGCGAGAATAATAACTTCCTGACGTTCGAGAATGATTGTTTACGTGCGCACGAATAACTAAGCTAGCTAGAATTAGAAAAAAAACGTCATAATTGGTAGTCATCCATCAAATCAAAGAAGTCATTGAAGTTATCAGAGCTGTGACATAGTGCTTATCAAATCTAAACACATACAAGATATTGATAAGTTATAATTATTCTTTTATCCATCACACAATAAGAAAAACAGTTTTTACTAGTTATAAAAATATTTTGTAGATTATTTTATTTTTAAAAATTAGATAACATTTTTCTACAAAGATACAAATTTATAATAAATATTTTAGTAAAATTAAATTTATTTGTTTAATTAAATTAAATTGTTTAATTAAATTAATTTGTTAATACTAAGCTGTTAATACTAAGCTCTCAGTTAAATAAACAAATAAATTAATAAAATCCGGGGGTTTACATTCCCTCAATTGTACTAATTTATAAAATATTTTGAAATAAGGCTTTTAATAAAACGCAATTATCATTTCCTACATAAATCAAATTTCTTTTTCCTGACTGAGATCTATTTTTTTTGCAGAATATTCTGATCTAGTGTACATTGGTGTAATAAGTTGGAATGAAACAGATATAGTTTATTTTGCTCCAACTTATTGTACATTAGTTCAGAATATTCTTCGAAAAAGAACACATCTTTGAGATTCTTCATTTCTATTTGAAATATGTCAATATGAAGTGTTTTCGCAGTTTCAATGTAGGTATGTCATTATTCGAAAATCAGTTGAAAACTCAATATGATCTCTGCGAGTAAATTTTACTTATAAATAGACTCGACTGACGTTATATGACTAAGAGCTCTCTGGTAATTTTACAATTCAAACCAAATAATAAAACATTTTCTGAAACAAGAACTTTTTATTATATATATTTTGAGAAATTATTTTTAGCAACAGCTGTCAATTATCACAGAGAATACGTGCATAACGCACAATCGTAATTTCCTGCTTCCATTGACTTAATAATTTCATACCACAAATGGGCAATTTTACCGCCCGCGAATCAGCGAAATAAATCCAGATACCGGGTTTCTTATGTCAGAGCAAGCGTCAATCACTGGTATTGCGATTTTAGTTTGATAATAGTGAAGACGCGCGCGAAACGTTGACATAGGAGTGTACGTATGTAGAGAGCAAGGTGCCTTCGATCTCGGCATCAAAATGTGTTCAGTGATGATCGGTTTCCTGTGAGAGAACGCAAAGTAATCATATTTATTATTGATATACATTTTATGAAATGTTAATCATATTTATTGTTGATATACGTTTTATGAAATGTTAATCATATTTATTGTTGATATACGTTTTATAAAATAATACATATTATTTACTTAGATATTAAAGTCGGAATAAAGTTCGCGATTTTTGCCCAGACTGTCGCTAATTTTTACTAACATTTAAAAAATAAGAATCTCTGCGCAAATGTGCGATAAATTAATATCTATATCTCTAGTTAACGTATCTATTTATATAAAATAATGTTTAATAATATTTTAAAATATATTAATTTTCTATATCAAGGAATACAAAATATAAATCCGCATTTTTTGTCGACACCCTTAAAATGATACTGCATAATATTATATTGTAAATCCAATTAATCGCGATCTTTGACGTAAATGTCTGAGCGTATAATTTGTTATAAAAAGAAATAAATTATTAATAATAACTATAATAATTAGCTTATTATATATTTATTACTCAGCACAAGAGAGGATAATGAATCTATTTGTTAGAATTCCTAGAAGAAAACGCGATTTAACTTGAAGAAATATAATTGATTGTATTGTATTATATACAATTTTCTTCTATGTCAGAATTATTATTTCGCTGTTATTATTTTCTCATTTGAAATCTCATACAGGTTTCTCAATCCTCAGTTCTATTGATATTTAAAATAATTTGCTATTCATATTTAAAACAATTATTGTACATAGGCTAGCATAGAATATTATATCATTTCTAGGTACAACAAATAATTACACTGGTATATATATGCGTGAGATGTTAGAG